AGAAGCACCGTGTAAAACAAACATACCAACAAGGCTGTAAGGAAATCCAATAATGGCAATTTTTTTTTTTGATAGTGGGAGAGTGCCTGATTTGCCATTGCTTAAGTGTATCATTCTTCTGTATATTTTAATTTTAAAACCTGGAATTATTGGCATCTGTAATTCTCATAGGAATCCCTTTCTTTTTTCCCTTTTCAGGTGTGAATCTGGTTATACTGGACAGCACTGTGAAAAGACGGACTTTAGTATTCTCTACGTGGTGCCAAGTAGGCAAAAGCTCACTCATGTTCTCATCGCAGCAATTATTGGAGCCGTGCAGATTGCCATTATAGTAGCCATTGTCATGTGCATAACAAGGTGGGTAACGGCCTAGGGAACACCAGCTCTCACGCAGAGGTGGGTGGCTATTAAATCAAAGAGTCTTGAAGCACTTAAAATGACAGGACTTCACGTCTGCCAGTCGATCAGGAAGAAATCCTAGGGTAGGTTCACTAAGGTTTCCATGTGGGTCTGACCTCTCCCTGTCTTGCTGCTTTAGAATTTGGTCAAGAGCTCATTGCCAGGGTTACTGGTAGATCTGAGCTGCAGGCAGAAGGAGCGTGAGAATTTTCAGCGGCATAAAGGAATTTTGAGGTCTTAGAACTGTGTGCCAGTTCTGGGACACTCAGGGACAATGATGGCAGCAGAAGTCTGCCCATACACAGAAGAACTGTGCAGAAACTGAAGTCTTGCAGATTGAGTTTTATGCCCTAAGAATATACTTTACCCATCAGTAAATGCAATAAGAAAGAAAGAAATAAAGAAAACTACTTTTCTTATATTGTTGTCTTTAACATTCATTTTCAGGAATACAGTAATAAGTTATAAGCTTTAAAATTCTCTATCATAACTAAAACCATTGGAGTGTATCATAACTAAACTCAAAATTAAAGGGTACATTTAGAGTGCAGTTGGCCTGGAATGGGCGTTTTCCAGGTTAAGTGGAAATGTGTAAGTCAGAACTGACCTGGACCTAGAGAAGTCAAAGCAGATTAAGTTCATGTTGTCTTTATGCTCCCCAGTCTGATGTCTTTTCTTCTTGCTTGCCTCGACCTACCTCCTTGAAGGTTTAGTTCAGAAGTCCTATGGACATATCTCTGTACTCCTCTGCATTATTCTGTGCAGAGGATTGGAACATACCAAGTGCAGATATTGGCAGGCCATCATGGATTTATGGCTCTTCTCTGAGGTCTGGATGGAAGCCAGATCTTCAGTGGTCTCAGCCATCTGGAGTTGAAATGATAAATCTAAAAATGATTGAAAAAATGTTTTCTGAGTAACAGATATTTTTCATAAAATTTAGGTGCTAAAGCCAGTGAGCTTCATTCTATAGAACAGATGATCTGCCCTTAGGCAAGACTGCTGAGTATAAAATTGAGCAGTAGATTAAAGGAGGGACATAATGTTATAAAAAGTAATGACAGCAGAAAGAGAAGATGGAAAAAAAAATGTAACAGCAGAGCTGCCTGTGGGTATTTAAGATTGGCTCAGAGGTTACACGATTTGCCTGTGGTCATCCGGCTAGTAAGTGAAAGTGCCTGGATGTGGATTCGGTGATTCCTGCACCACTCCTCTTTCCACTGAACCATCAAGAGGAGGGCCCATGTTGAGTCATCTTGGGAAGTATACTTGCCAATTGTGACCATTGCCTGGGAGCAAGGTTCAAACTTGATTTTGTAGCAGTTCAGGGTTTTTTGAACAGAGGACGGGTTTGGTATGATCCGTTTTTCCAGAGCGTTAATCTAAGTGTCGTCTGAAAAATTCACTGGAGGAGAGGGAATGAGGTTGGGGGAGATCATTTAGGACGTAATTAGAGTAAAGCAGGAGTGGAGTAAAATTGATTTGGAAGGTGAAAGAAAGAAATAAGATAATAAGGGGAGATTTTGAGGCCCAGTGATAGTGCTGTCTTTAAGATCAAAGGATATTAGAGTCAGCAGGAAGTTACTCTGAGTTGAACCCCTTCATTCTAGAGAAGTGAGGATACCGGAGTCCTGGGGTGGGAAGTACCTTACCCAGGATCACAGAGATAGTGATGCCCTTTACAAATCTTATCCAGCCTTATGTCTAGCACTCTGCTTCGATTCTCACTGTGCTGTAATCCTCAACTACTACATTAAAATTACCTGGCAGGTAGTTTTCAAGTTAGTACCCTCCAATTTATACCCAAATCCATGTGCTGCCTTCACAGACACGTAGGCATCTCAGTAGGTTTGCTTTTAACTGTATTATAGTGTCTTCGTTGCCCACCGTCTTAATGACTGAAGGGCCATCTCATTGAATTTATCACAGCTTTCTCCCTGAGGCCTCTTTATTGTACTGTTTTCTCCCCTAGAATGTCTTGCTGCCTTAGATTTAGAATATTATAATTATGTACTTGGACTTTGCTCCACTGAATTTTTAAGGAGTGCCTCTCCCACACAGTCCATTATGGGACAGCTGTTCACTTCTTCTCTGGTGGCTGTTACATGTCAGGAATCTTCCCACTGACCCACTTATCAAGACTGCATGAGTAAACTTGATGCTTGGAATCTTCTTTCATGTTGAACATCATCCTATCCCAACCCTCTTTATTATACAGACGAGAAAAACAATGGCCCCAGGATGGGAATTAGTCCCCTGTCATGGTGAGTTAGTGACAGTTAAAGAGGGTTGCTTGACCTCTCAACCAGTGTCCCCATTTATGAAATGGAGATGATTCCAGCACTGTCTACCTCAAAATGTTTTTACGAGGATGAGTAAGATAAATTTGTGAAGAGCAGTATGTAAATGGAAGTGTTACCAGCAAAGCTCTTAAGTCAAGAAAAAGTAGTGCTCTTTGAAATTGAATAAAAACTTGGGACTTTAGGAGTACTTACTGTCTCAAGGCTTTCTTCCCATTAGATTATACACTCCTTGCTGGCAGTTAGCCCAACTCTTAATATTTTGCTTATAGGAAAAGGAGGCTGTATAGCTAGTTTCTGGCAGAGTTAGTTAACTCAGAATTAACTGGAATGCATCCCAGTCCCTTTATTCCACATCGCATAGAATATGCTTTTTGTGCCTATGAGAGCTAGTATGTTTGCATGCCAGTGGGCAGGTACAAGAGCAATTGCGGCCCGGTGAGCTTTATACCACCCTGGAGAAGTGTGTGCGGTACAGTGAGAGCAGAGTGGAGGAATATCCCTGATCCCCAGCATGGCAGTTCTGTCCCGGGGTCTAGGGTTTGCCCAAGCAGGGTGTGGAACGACTTCTCTGAGTCATTGTCTAAGTCACTAGGCATTTCCTGTGTATTCAGATCTGTGGTTGATAAGCACATTTCTTCCTGATGTCTCCTTCGGCTAAGCTGTCCTTGTCATTTCGGGGTGGTCATCATGCCTAGGGAGAGTACAGAGTCCGGGATCCTTTCTGCCGTCACAGTCACAAGTTTACATGTTAGCAGTCACTGTGGCTTGGGAGTTGCCAGACCAGAAGGGTGGGGATCTCTCTCGGGTACATATGCAGCAGGGGAGACCCTGGGAGTGTTTTGTTTGTGTTCATACCTGTTAGATATATCATATATCTAACGCTCTCCCCTCCCAGCTTGTAGGGAAGAGGGCAGTCTGACATGCTGGTCTGTCATCAGATAGCATCTGTTCACCTGTCATGTGATCACCTGTGCCGTGTGTGAAGTGTGCATTACTTTGGAAATATATATATATATCCTAAACAACATTTTTCTTTTTTTTTTCCTTAATAGAAAATGCCCTAAAAACAATAGAGGACGACGACAGAAGCAAAACCTAGGTCATTTTACTTCAGATACGTCATCCAGAATGGTTTAAACTGATGATTTTATATGTACACTGACCATGTGATGTACATTTATTATGTCTTTTTTTAAAGAATGGAAATATTTATTTCAGAGGCCTTATTTTTGAACATTTTTGGTGTAGTGCTGTTGGCTCGTATTTAGAATATTCAGCTACAACAGTTTTGGACTGTTTAGTAGTCTTTGTTTTATGTTTTTAAATACAGAAACCGATTTCACAAATTTGTACCACATGGTAATTCTAAGACTTGTTCTTTATCCATGGAATGTAATATTTTTGCAAAGACGGACCACTTCACAAATGGTTATAAAGTCATACCCACTTCTTCCACAATGACCACAGCAAATAACCAAGCATGAACTAAAGGTAAAGATGTTTACAGATTACTTTTCTTACAAAATAAAATCTAGAAGACACTGTGTTTAGACATTTAAATGTTTTTGAGATTTATTAACTGATTTTTTAGACACTGCCTATCGCATGAACTGTAAAGCTGTGTGTGTTAGATGTAAAATATTTATGATGTATGGACTGGAATTTGACCATTTCTCTCTTTGAGGAAAAAAAATTCTGAATTAATTAAAAAAAAGTTTCTGGTAGCAATGATGGAACAGATTACTGAGAAGTAGATTTAGTTGTTGTGAAAATAGTCTGTTTAACAAACAGATTGGAATAAAGCCTATTCTGTCATTTAAACTACCTTAATACACACTCATTTTTAAAGAAAATACTTGTTTTAACATAAATAAACCAATTGTATCAGTGTTTGTGAATAAAATGCAAAAATAGTTGTTAATGATTGGTGCTCTTCAAGTGAGCTTAAAAATCATCTAAGACCTCTATCCAAATTTGTCCTGTAGTAATAGCTGTATTAATAGATTGTTGGTGTTTAAAGATCTAAAGTGTGAATAGAACGTATTCAGCTGTTTAACATGTAGTTTAGATATTCAGAAGTATGCATGTAGAATTTAAAAATATGTTCAAAATTAAATATTAATTTTAATATTTGGTTTGGAAAAGCATGTTATAATATAATGTTTTCACTATATGGCCTCTGCTTTGGTGTGTTTATTTACTGCATTCTTTGGTATTGATACATCAGAACATTCAATATGTGAAACTAATAGAAAAAGCAGGCTTCAGTTCAAAATTCCCATTTGCTTTTACGAATACTGCTTGAAATTGTCCAAAGGCAAAAGCTTCACCCAGCGTTTGGAATTTGCTTTTTTTGTTATTTGGCTTCTTGTCGCAATATTAGTAACATTGGTGGTCTTAGGGAACTTTATTTTAAAAGCTTTCCTCTTCTACCCACACAGTCTTATTTGAGCCCCTTAGTCAGTCAGTAAGCATGTTTGGAACAGCACCCAGTGCTTTGCAAGGGTTCATATTGCAGAACAGTCACGTCTGGGTATTTGTAGTTACAAATACTTGACCAGTCTCCAGGGGTGGGGTTTCCAACCCTTTAAACAACCCAGTTGCCTGTTATCAAGCTAACTTTTTGCTCTTAGTGCCAGAATTGATTGTGGTAAGACATCTTTCACTGAGAAATAACTAAAATGGAACATAATGGGTCTGCTTCAAATACTGATAAGATCCACCAGAATCGCCTGTCGGGTGTCACAGAAGATGAAGACCAAGACGCCGCTCTTACCATTGTGACTGTGCTGGACAAAGTAGCTGCCATCGTGGACAGCGTGCAGGCAAGCCAAAAGAGGATAGAAGAGAGACACAGGGAGATGGAAAATGCCATAAAGTCCGTCCAGATCGACCTGCTGAAGTTCTCACAGTCACACAGCAACACGGGCTATGTCATTAACAAGTTGTTTGAGAAAACCCGAAAAGTCAGTGCTCACATTAAAGACGTGAAGGCCCGTGTGGAGAAGCAGCAAACTCATGTTAAAAAAGTTGAAGCCAAGCAAGAGGAGATAATGAAGAAAAACAAATTCCGCGTGGTAATATTCCAGGTAAGCTTGCGCCTCTGTTCAGCTTGATTACTGCAACTTTTGCATCCTTTAACTGCCAATAGGTCTGATCAGAGGTTTCCCGTGTCACGTCGTAACTATTTGTGTGTATTCGTGTGGTGGAGTTCCGTGTCATCAGAAATGTCAGGGTAAAACCATTTCCATGTTAACTAATGTACTATCAGGTCAGTGTTTAGAGCTTCTCAACCATTTCATGTAATCTGAACTGTGGAGCATAGCAGAATCTATTTCTTGCCTTTGAAACTTAATATTGGTAAGCCTCTTTCAGCATATTAGCCAAGTTAGCATGATGCCCTCCCATAGCCTTTGAGAAGTTCAGAACTAGAAGATATCTAAGAAGCCTCTAGTTTAAAACACCTCTTTGTTGCATAAAAAGGAAACTGAAGACCAAGAGCCCCACCGTGGGGTTCTTCCCCTTATTATGGAGAGCCTGGAAAGCCCTAAACAGTACAGTGTAAACGTTTCAGAATATAATTTGTCCATTGAAATTTTTGCATACTATAGTGAGTCACAATAATAAGAAAAATGATCTATTTCTTAATGAACCATTGTTCTTGTTTTTCTTATTGTTACAGTTACACAAATGTAGGAGTCACCTAAGTATTCCTTATATTTGATTACAATGTCTTTTTACTTAGTTGATTTAATATGATAGTTTTTGTAGTTTTATTAAGCTAGTAAGTTCCTGTCTCGCTCTGCACTTGACACTCATTTTTTGAAGTAGGAACACATCCATCGCAAATGCCTAATACCTATAATACATTTAAAAACTCTTACAAATCAAAAGGAAAAAAATTGAACTTTCCTCTCATGGTAGAACAATCAGAAAGTCATTATCAGTCAGTTCACAAAAGACAAAATCAATGAGCAAAATTCCACCTTCACCTATTTAAATGTTTGCAGTTACTAACACATGCTGTCAGAGTTTAAGTGTAGGAAATAACAAGCACTTTCATATTTCTGCTGGTTAGGGTATTAATTGGTACATTTCTGGAGGGCAGTTTTGGTAGTATGTGTTAAGAACTTTAAATATTCACAAACCTTATGGCCCCAAATTTCATGCCAAAGGATTTGTTGTAAACATAAAATCAGGAATGTGTACAGGGATGTGCATATATGTAGTGTTATCTCACTGTATTTTTTAAATGGATGTATGTCCATATGCATAGGAGAAAAAAAAACCTAGAAGAATAAAAACAAAATGAAACAGGAACACAGTTGGATTATGTAGGCAGTATTTGTAAGATAGCCAGGATGTGGGCTGTAACTCACCGGGCCGTTCTTTTCGCGTTAGTCAGGTTTCTGTCGCCCACTATTGACTGTAAGGTTACACTGGGATGGCAGAGTGGTACTTTGTTTTTAAAAGCCTGTTGGTTATTTAGGAGGAGGAATGGGGAGGAGATTTCAAAAATAGACAGGTTGGACTAATCTATCTGAAGGCCTTTACCATTTCCTGCTCCTTCCACGTCCCTGGAAGTCCTTCTCCAGACTTAAAATTTTGGGAAAGAATCAGTCATCTTACTCTCAGAGGCCAACCTCAGTGTCAGTGTATGTAATGGGGATCTAGATTTGGTAGTGGTGAATGCAGTGTCCATCTTAGAATTCACTCTTCCAAGGGCATTAGCAGTAACGGGTATCTCACCCTTTGCTTGCTTGAGGCATGCCAGCAAACGTTCTTGGCATCCAGCATTTCTCCTGAGAACCCTTGTGCGAAGAGTAGACTGGGTACCGATCAATATTTACAAGGCTAGATAAAGCAAAGAAGTCTCTGAAAAGTTCTAATTGACTCTTGTTTGTCTCTTGACATAACTTTCTTTTGAAGTTAATGTTTCTATATTCACCTGTTTATTCCCTGAAACTTGCTATTTTTTCTTTTCTTTGAGCCCTTACAGTTACTTGAATGAATGATGGTATCAAAAAGCAACAGAGAAGCACTAGTTTCTGTCAGCTCTGTTTCCTTGTAAGATATAATGCTATTAAAGAGTCTCTGAAATGAAGTTGTTCAGAGAAAGCCGCATTTTGTTGGTTAGCCATTGCTCTCTTATAATGGGAGAGCTTGTGAAAAAGAGATAAAGGCAAATAACAGTGGGTTCGATGATTCATTAGATGTTAGAACTCTGCATACAGCATTCACATGGCTTTTCTTGGCGGTTAAAATTCTTGTAATTCATTCTCATAGTTAATACGTTTAAGTGACTATATTGAGATTGCACCTTCTACTAAAATTAACTTGAAGCTGAGTAATTCAGCTATAGTATACTTTAATTTCCTTTTGGGTGTTTCCTCAGAAAGTTTTCCCTGGATATATCTTTGGTGGCAGTCTTTGTTGGTATTTTATCTCCCACAGTTGTGTACAGCTGAGCTTTCCCCTTATCTGGGACTCTGGCATTGAAAAAGCTATCTGCCTTATCATACAATCACGATTTCTCTTTGAACATGCTCTCACCTTGGTGACCTTCTCATCATGAAAACTGGGAAGCTTATCGTATCTTCTAACAGTTTTGCTTACTAACCACGTGCTGTGGAACCTGTGCTTCCTAAATGAGCTATTTTGGCCATTTTCTAGTAAGTCCCAGACTTCTATATATTCAAAATTCCCCTACCTATATTATTTTGATACTCAATAAGGCCACTAGACTCTGACTTATAGTACTCAATTTGTTACAAAAACCATCTTTTTACCTAGACTTCTGCCTGAAAAGATAAGTAATAGTTGTATTTGGAAACCAATTATAATTCAGCCCTGTAATCTTCAATTATTATTACAGTGTATTCATCTCCAATCGTGGTATCTCTGGCTCATAGGTGCTGCAACAAATAGATTCACATGACAGGTATTTTCCCTGACTCTACCTCTGTTCTTTAAGCCTGATTTTGTAGAGTTGGTTATGCAGTTGAAGAAGGTATGTGATTCCTGAGTGAAGCTATATCTGATTTCTTCCCAGCAGGATTGTGAGGGTTTTCCCCACCAAACAGTAATTATTCCTCTGCTGCTTTTCTAATTATACTTACTCAGGCCATATGAATGCATCAGTGCTGCTGAAGCTACTCCCGCGGCAGGTGTCAGGAAAGGAGAGAAATAGTGTTGCTGCTTCTGATTCATCAGAGAGCTAGCAGACATCCACCCTGCTCCCCCCCCCCAATAGCTCCTGGACTCCCCAGTCCTCTAGCCAAAGAATTTAATTTTAAGTAATATCCAAAGAAATAAGGTTCCAGAGATACCTTCTTGACTATCAGGCTGATAGGTTTTAGAATATGTGTAAATATATTTCTTACATAGTAAATTGTTTTGGTTGAACAGATTGAATCTGGATCTCAAGTAGAAGGACAGTTTCTTTTAGAAATTTTAACTCATGGGTTCAGTTTAAAAATCTCATCATCTTTGAAGTTTTTCCTGTGTAGTTTTAAAAATAATCCCTAAATAGTGAGTTGGGTTCCTTTAGCAGCTGTGTTTCTGGGCTGGTTCTCAAGGTTACCAGTGCCTCCCATGTTCCCAAATCCAGTGCTCATTCTTATCCTTTTGACACATTTGACGTGACTGGTCCCTCCCTCTCTTGAAACTTCTTTCCCCTTGGCTTCTGGGGGTGCCACTCTCTCTTGGATTTCCTCCTTCCTCACTGGCTGATATTTCTCCTTTTTCATTCTTTCTCATCTCTTCCTTCTTATCTTCAGGTCCAAAATCCATTTATCTATAACACCAAAGTAGAAAAGTTTCTAAAAATAAGCCTTTTTTTATAACTCACTTGGTAGGAAGACCTAGCTTGACCTGAGCTCATTTGATGGTTAAACTCCACCTTAAGTAGCATGAGGCTGTTTATACTCTTTATCCCACCTTGGAGTGAATTTTTTTTTTTTTGCCACAAAAAAAGTTTCTCCCCAAGATCTCACTGGGAATGTTATGTAATATATTATTTCCCCCAAATATGAAATATTCTGATTTCTGAAATGAACCTTGGCTCCCAGGGGTTTTGAATAATGGAGTGTAGATCCATTCACTCAGTCTCTTTGTGATCTCTTTAATCTGGTCTCATGATTTTTAGTTTCATCTTTATGTTAATGTCTCCTAAGTTTATGTCTCTAGTCCAGACCTCGCTCCTGAATTCCAGACTTACATACTTAGCTGCTTACTCCACATCTCTGCGTGGATATTCGGTGGGCATCTCAAAGTCAGTATGTTTGGAACCCATCCTTCCCCTCCAGTCTCTGCCCCCTGCTCTCTTCCTCATCTCAGTTAATGGCAAATCTGTCCTTCAGCTGCTCAGGCCATGTACTTGAGAATCCATCCTTGACCTGTCTAACACTCCACGTCTAAATCTAGCAGCAAATCCTGCTGGCTCCTACCTTCCAAGTGGATCTGGAATCAGACAGCTTAACACCACCTCTGCCAACATACTGAACCATGTCTCACATGACTGAGCTCAGTGGTCTCTAACTGCTCTCCCTGCTTCTTGTCTTGCTCTCTATAGCCTCGTTTCAACAGAGTCATCCTTTTACAACAAGGATCAAATCATGTCGCCATCCTCCTGGAAACTTTTTAGAAAGCTTCCTATCACACTCTGAGTAAGAGCCACAGTCCTTATCATTGGAGACAGAGCCCTCCATGAGCTGGCCCTCCCTTGCCCTCTCTCCTCCTCCTCTTGCCCCTGGATCACTCTGATCCAGCCACACTGCTCTCCTTGCTGTTTCTCCTTTCCTTCCATGTGTATGCATTACCTTTGGGTCTAGGCTTGGATGTCACCTTATTGGTGAGGCCTTTCCGAGCATCCTCACCAGTCACTCTGTGTCCCCCTTCCGTGCTTTAGTTTTCACCTTAGCATGTGTCACCATCCAACATAAGTATGAGTAGCTTGTTTGTCTCTCCAAGAGTATAAGTTCTTGTACTGTTTCATTCACAGGAGATTCTCAGTTCCTAGAATACTAAATGATGCTTGGTAGCTGCTTAGTAACTATTTGTTGAGTGAAGGCATGTGCTTCCTCTTTGTTCCAATGGCCATTTATTACACATACCTACTTAAGTACAAGGCAAACTGGGACAGATGCCGGGCATAAAACATAAGTAGGATCCATCTCTGCTCTCGTGGAACCTATGTAGTGAAGGCCTCAGGGAGACATATAAATGAGTAGAGTTCCAATTTGTTCATTCACGGGATAGATGTTTTAAGGAGAGGCATCTACATGTCATTTTAGTATAAGTTGGAGACAGAATTGGTCTCTCGGGGAAGTTGAGGGATATTTGAATTGACTCTTGGAGAAAGATTTTGTTCACAAAGCTGAAAAGAGGTGAAGTATTTAGGGTAGCAAAAATGACTTACACTAAGGCGTGGGGAGGGGTGTGTATGTTTGAGGAACTTAGAGTGGTTGTGTGCTGTGGACTGGAGGAGCGGAAAGTAGGTGCGGCTAACACAGAAGAGCCCTCTAATTGTACTGAAGAATTGGGACTCTCTCCTTCGAGTATCAGGGAGCTCCCAGATGTTTTAAAGCAGAGAAAGGATGTGATCAGAGCTCTGTTTTAGAAATATTTCTCAGGAAATACTTAGGTGATGTTTGTAGGTACAGGTGTCACACAGCTTCTGGCCTGAGATGATGAGGACCTGAATTAAGACGGTGGAGGCGAGGAGGAAGGAGGAGAAAAAAGAGGACTCATTAGTTATTAAGCAGTGTTAGCAGCAGCGCTTGGTGACCAGTTGGAAAGGGGATGAGGAGAGGAAATATTTTGGACAGTGATTCTGAGGTGTCTCTGGGTGGCACCTGGAGAGTGCTGTGCTGAGAGGTCCAGGAAAGGATGATGGCCAGGCTTTGGTTTTTGGACATAAGTGGCAGGTGCCTATCTTACATGGAGGTGGAGAAGTATGTGTCATTTAGGAATGTGTCTTCATCTTAGGAGAAGGGGAGAGATGAAGGTAAAATACATGTGCGTTTACTTACAACTGGATCTGAAAGCTGAGGTTGCTATTAGGAAGTACCAACATGTAAGGAGAGGGCGGAGGAGACTGAAAAGGCGTGGCTGGAAGGGCAGAGGGCCGGTGGCTAACTCGCTCACTTTCTCTCTCCTGCAGGAGGAGGTTCGGTGTCCGACGTCCCTGTCTGTTGTTAAAGACAGGAGCCTGATGGACAGTCCAGAGGAGGAGGACGATGTCTTCGACCCCCCAGCTGACCTGTCCTCGGACGAAGAATATTCCATTGAAGAGAGCAGATCTGACAGGCTTAGAAAGTCAGGCAAGGAGCGCATTGATAATATCAGAAAGGCCTTTTCCAAAGAAAACATGCAGAAGACGCGGCAGAATTTTGACAAGAAGGTGAACAGAATTAGGACTAGAATAGTGACCCCTGAGAGGAGAGAGCGGCTCAGGCAGTCAGGGGAGAGGTTAAGGCAGTCAGGGGAGAGGCTGAAGCAGTCAGGGGAAAGGTTTAAGAAATCTATTTCAAATGCAGCGCCCTCCAGGGAAGCGTTTAAGATGCGTAGCCTTCGGAAAACTAAAGAGCCAGTGGCCGAGGGTCCAGAAGAGGTCAGGGAGGTGGGTGTGGACATCGCGGCCGGGAGCGAAGCGCTGGGTCCCCTCGGTGAGCTCTACACCCAGACTCTCAGCGAAGCAGACCGCGGGGAGCCCAGCGCTGCTGGGCATCCTCCCCAAGTAGGCGGGGAGGTCTCCACCCCCGAGCCTTTAAAAGTTACTTTTAAACCCCAGGTGAGAGTAGAGGATGACGAATCTCTTTTGCTAGATTTAAAGCAGTAATCATAAGGAGGAATTAAATATATTATAATTGTAAATCTCCTCGATCACACAGTTTTAGTTGAAATAGTAGAGTCCCTTACACTTAATGTGTCATATAGGGAAATGTAAATGGCATGGCTCTTTGATTACTTAGACTTAAAATCTTAAAGGTAATACAAATATGATATACATTTCCTTGTGACTGCTTAGGGAATTCGTTTTTTCCCTCACCCAGGGCTTATGATTCTGTTAGCTTTCTCTCATGTCACTCTCACAGCAGCTGTGGATTTGTCAGTTCCCTTCTCTTGAAAATAGTTTCCAAGCAAAGGCCAACTAGGTGTTCGGCTGTCGACAACACATGAAGGGCAGATCTATAGCCATGATTTGCAAGTGAACTCTCGATCCTGGTCCAGATTAATGCTGTGGCCAAGCTCAACGGGGAATAACAGATGTATGAATTTATATCATCCCTAGGTTCAAATCGACAGATTTGTTAGTAAGTTAGCAGACAGACACCTTTTTGATGCTTTTGCATAAAAAAATTGAAGTTCTGCTCCTGAGCATTTGGCTCTGGCATCACAGCTTTGCTCACAGGGAGCCCCTGGGCAAGTCATCTGCTCGTGAGCTTGTCAGTAAAGTGGAGAGGGTTTGCCTGCCCTGCCCATCTCAGAGGACTGCTGTGAGGATCGAGGAAACGTTCTGGGGGAATAAGAACCATTTCCGGAGAAAACAAGGCTCATTAGCTTCTTAAAACAGACACGAAGTGATTACATCTTGTGAAAAAGCCCTGAGCTCCAAGCAGGGAGGGCGTAGGTTGGACAGAAATAAAGTTGGTCTTCAGAAGCCTTTTCACAGAATCAGGAATGAAAAATAAATGTTTGACCGGCATCTTTTTCATCAAAGACTAAAACCAGACCTTGGGTTTGAGTTGGGTCTTAAAACGTTTCCTGGAAAGTTCTTTCCCGATTTTCTCCTGATTCAGATCTGGGGTGGACTAGAGCAACACTGATGTGAGCAGAGTGAAGCCTGCAGCTGTGGCTGTGTCTTCAAGTGGCCTTTCTGAAGTCAGCTCTGGTGCAGTGCTTGGGAATGACCTCGGATGTTTCTGATTTCCAGAGTGAACCCCTCGGGGCCCGTCTGTCCAAAGCAGTGTTCATAGGCATTCATCATAGTTGCTTTGGGAGGAAGCCAGATTCCACTTGTTTATTAGCTGTAGATCTAGCCAATCCAGAAGCAGATATTACTGCTACAGAAAGAGAGAAATGGTCATACTGGTTCTGCATTTGGGTGTGTTTAAATCTAGTTTGTAATGCGAAGAAATGATGGAATTGTAGAATTTGAAGTTTGGACAATAGCTTTCAGATCAGTTTTGGATGTTCATATAGTAGTTAAAAATTGTGATACATGTAGACACACATACACACTCACACAAATCAGCTTTAAAATATTTAACTCAGTTACCCAGATTTTTGGGTTTGGGAGTTTGATTCAGCATCCTTTTCTCTTCACTCTGCATGAGTAATTAAATCATAAATTGTTAATCTCATTATCTTTTTATATTGAAAACTAAAGTGTATACAACTTTGAACAGTACTTTGAAAGGAGTAATTTTTAAAATACTTTAGTTTAGAAAGAGCTTGGATGCCTAACCATGTATTTCCTTAAAGCCATAATAAATTTGAATTTTAAAAAGACATTATCACCAAGTTTAATGTTAGTGTCCTATTTGTAAATATTTTTGCTGACAATGAGTGCAGACAATATGGCATGAATTTAATATAGTAACATTTCTTGTGTTTCTAGGTTAAGGAAAACATAAAGAAGTTACGTGCTTTTTCTTTTTTCTCGCCCTATGCAGAGTAAATATCCATTGAGCTGACATATTTTTCTGCAGATATCACTGTCCAGGAATTTTTGTAACGTCTGTTTGCTTACTGACCCATTATATAACCAGACCTGTCATATTATGGAACATTTCTCACATAGGTGCTTTTGAGTTTTGAGGTAGAAGGCATTATAACCTGGTCAGCTCTTTGTTATGGTAGACCGTGCAGTCCCAGAAACCACTGAAACGATTTCATGTCCCCGGAGGTTCTCTGTAACTGACACTGCTTTCTCGGTGCTGGGATTTTTGCCCCCTCTTACTGCTGGGTCTCAGTACTTTCTCCCAT